ATATCAAATTATATATTTTTTATATATATATATATATATATATATATACGTTAACAGACTGTAGCAGCTCACTTGATAAATTCAGTTTTATGTTATAACAGGAGAAAGGGAGAATGACCCCCCCCCCCGTCCAGTAGGTGACGACGACAGGACAAAATACTTTTGTCTCTTCGTTACAATGTGAAACTAACAGATCAGAGGAAACATGAACAAACAGAGAACTTCTCCTGAATCTCCACAAACTGGAACACATGACAGTTTGTGGCAGAGAAACTAGAACACGTCACCTGTCTCAGGTCGTCCAGGTAACCCTCCACACCTGTCGGCAGCTGGATCGTCATCACTGTCAGACTGGACTCTGTGTTCACCTCGTTAGGAGGAGGTTTATACCTATAAGAGAGACACACACACACACACACACACACACACACACACACTGAACTTTGCAATGCTCAAAAAACATTTAAATACACATGTGATTTTCTGCCACTAGGGGGCGTCTCGTTCACTGTCTCTGACACTGAGATCAATGAGATCAAAGATCAAACTACAGATTCAGATTCTTACTTTGCACAGGCGACCAGGTGAGGAGAACGCATACTGGGCTCTGAGGAGGAGAAGAAGAATGTGGTCAGGTGAACAGATGAGGCCCAGATGTTCAGACAGGTTCACTCACAGACACCAACCTCTGGAGACGTCTGGGCCGAGCATCTCTATGGTAACATCAAAGTTACACCTCTGTGTGGATGAGCTGGTCTCATAATAAACTGTCTTCAGCTGCAGACGACAAAGACACAAATCAAAGTTTCAGATTTAAGCTTCAAGTCAAGTCTAGTTTCAGACGTAAAGTTAATATTTCAGAAGCAAAGTTAACGTTTTAGATGTAAAGGGGACAAAAACCACACCCACCTTCACATTAGACACGCCCCGCCCATAACCTGTGGTCACGGTGATGTCATCATTCTCCATCACCTGTGAGAACAAACTGTTAGTGCCGACTCCATTGAAATATCTGCACCTGTCTCACTGCACCTGTCTCACTGCCCCTGTCTCACTGCCCCTGTCTCACTGTACCTGTCACACTGTACCTGTCTCATTGTACATGTCTCGCTCTCACCTGGATGGGTGTGGCCACCGGTCGGGTCTGTCTGAGCTGGACTCGTGCTACAACCCCCTTCCTGCTGTAGTGGATGTTGATGTCCTGATTGAGGACGGCTCGAGGGACAGTTTTGCAGTACTCTGTGATGGTCTCAAGGGTCAGCACTGTGTCCTGAAAGAGGTCAAAGGTCAGCTGTGTGTGTCTGTGTCAGACATGAGCTCGAGGTAGAATCCAGAGACCCGTCTCCAGAGACCCGTCTCCAGAGACTCGTCTCCAGAGACCCGTCTCCAGAGACTCGTCTCCAGAGTTCATGTTCATGTTCAACTGAACAACTCCGCAGCAGGTTTTCTGCTCAGACTCGTTCACATCAG